TTTTTGTTGAAATTTCTTAAATATAAATCCCTTTTCTGTATCTTCAAATTGGTCAATTAGTAAATTGTAATGTTCACTACCTCGCGGACATTCTAGCAAACAAATCCAAAAAAAACTTTCTGAAACAACCCTTCAAGTTCATTTGAAGACATGGCAGCATTATTAGATAAGATAATTTTAAATTCCTCATTTGTTAAACCTTCATGTAGTTTTGGAGCACCTATTCCTAATCTTTTCATTTTTTTTAAGATACCATCAAGTGTAGCATGAAGTTTTGAAAAATTCTTTTTATCTAATAGATTATAATTCCATTGTGGTTTGGAATTTTTAAGATGACGGCTTATTGAGGCAACAGCATTTTTCAAGGAAGCTCTTGAGTATTTTTTGCCTTTTGTTATCCTTACACCATATATAAATTCACACATTTTATTTTCTATTTGTTTATTAGAAAAAAGTGATTCTAAGGTGTAAGTATAGTCCACATTTTTGCGCCAAGTATTTAAAATATATACACATTTTTCAATGCATTTAACTGTATTTAATGGTAAACAGCTTTGTTGAACCTTTGAAAGTTTCTCAGCTGTAGGTTTAAAATAAGTCTAAACATTTGTTAGTTATTAAAATTAATATAATTTATAGCTTTAATATGTAAATTACTTACAATTTCTATTAACGGAATTTTAGTTTACGAAAGTAAATTATTCGTAAAAAAAGAAAAAATATTGTGAGAAAAAAATTGTTTGTGGGAAAAAATATTATTTATTTATAAAAAAAAAAAAGTTTATAAAAGTTAAAAAAAATAGTTTAATCACGGAAAATCGAATAAATCACTTATTTGGCACTTCAAGCTGAATAACTACCGCTACCTACAAGGTAGCTAATAATATTGGGAATCAAATTTAATTTGTGATTTGGGGCTCCTGCGAAGCCCTAAATCAACTAATCAAATTTGATTTCCTAATATAATAATTATTTGGCACTTCATGCCAAATAACTATTAATTATTATTATTATTATTTTCAGAAGGTATTCGCAAAAAAAATTCTTTTTACGCATTATTTATCTATAAATATCCCATCAGAAATCTTCCTATTTTTACAAAAATTTCTATTTTATAAGCAAAATTATTGCAAAATTTTAACCTTATAATATTTTTCAAAATGACTCACATGAATAAAAAGAAGTCTCCTTCCTCTTGACGCTGGAGTTTTGCTTGATACAGAAAGTTTAGAAGTGAAAAGTTTTTCAAGGTAAGATGGGTAGATTTAAGAATGGTTTGGTCTGAAGGCTTTGATTATATAAAATATGTGCTAGCTTGTCATGAACTTTTGAATATACATAACCTATACCACTTTCTAGTGAAGTATAATGATTTATTTGACCTTACTTAGTTGACTGCAGCAATGATTAACACTTTTGCTTTTTTAATTCTTTATCAAACTAAAGGTTTATGTCAAAAAGTTCAAAAGGAAGTTCAGATCCAAGAAGATCTTCAAGCAAAAATTTCAACTTTAGAAAATCAATTATCAATTTCCTAAGATCAAACTACTAAATTTTCCTTAAGTGTGAACATTTGAAAAAGGATTTGCTTCAGAAAAAAGACAAGAATCAAAAATTTCAAGAGATTATAGAAAACTTAATGAAGACTTCCAGTTTGTCTGTCGAGAAGAAAATGTCAATTTAGAAACTTTGGAATGACTTTGAAAACGTTTTAATTTTATTCAAAATCAACTTGTAGAGAACAGTAATCATTATCAATTTTCAGTATATCTTATTCCTCGTGAAGATCAATTAAATTAGATTTTTTTTTTTTTTTTTAATAAAGTTACTATATATTTGTCTCACAAAAACTTGCTAATGTAATAAGAATAAATACTATGGTTATATCTATTATTATTTTAAGAGCAGCTATCTACATAGTTAATACTTCTGCTTTTATTCTTGTTCTCTCTTTTCTCTCTTTTTTTTAAGTTCATTTTTTATGATTAAATTTAAATAATTACATTTCTTCAAATATCCTGGCATCCAGTGATCCGTTTGGAATATAATTTATACCATTATGAAGTTCACATCTCGGTGAACACGTTGATATTAATTTTATAAAATTCTAATCAGTAGGTCACGAGTAAATTATCTCTGAGACTTTGTTTTGATCCTTATTATTATAAGAATATTTGAAAATCAGTAGCACAGTATGATCATATGACATGAATTAGACTTATAATTCTTTTTTCTTTTATTTTTCCATTGATACTCTACTCTCTTAGGTTTTTTGTATTCATTAGAATGTGTTTCTGTCCTTCCTGAATATTCAAAACCATTTGTTGCTAGTTAATACAATTGTAAGTAATTAAATACTAGTATTTTCTTAACACTTCAAATTCAATTTTTAATTTAATTATCCTATCAACTAATTCTCTACTTTTATTTTCCATTTCAACTGTATCAAAAATTCCTTTATAATAAATATTGCAGTAATTTTTTGATTCATCATCCGTTTCAAATCCATCATCATTAATTAAAGTAACTTGAAAGTTTTAATAGGCTCTTATATTAGATTATCTTTTCCTTCCAATTCATCTGAAAATTCTTCTTCTTTTACATGATCTTTCCAAGGGTTAAATTCTAATTCAATTATAGAATTTGCTTCTTTTAAAATTTTTTTTGTATTTCCTTTTTTAGATATTTCATCAAATAATACTATATCGCATCATATATCACGTGATTATTTTTAATTTATATTTTAATTAATAATTTGTGTTTTAACTTGATTAAATTGTTTTAAATCATTCAAAATATTTTCAAAATAAATGTTACAGATTTATACTTTAACTTGCAAGTTCGTCTACTTAATCTTTTAGTAGAGTAATACATTACTCAATTTACTTTTTCTTAGAAAGAGCAGTTCATTACTTAAGGTTCGTTGCTCAATTTCTTCAAATTTCATATACTTTGCTAAATCTGTTAGCAGTTTAAAATCAATTCTATTTCTAAATTTCTCTCGATTGCTTCAAAATTTATACACCTCGCTATTTCGTCAGCAGTTCATCATGTATGAAATTATCTCTATTTCTCAATTCTCTTTTTTCAAACTTTTATATACCTCACTAAATCTGTTAGCAGTCCATTATATATAAAGTCAGTAGTATCCTGGCAGGAATCACTACTTATTAACGTTACTCTTTTCGTCAAATAAGTTAACTATGATTTGAAGTTAAGGAGGCAATAGCTATGACTTAAATCTAATCAACTTGATACACTATTTATTAGAGAGTTTATTTAGTTAACAAGAAATAAATTATAAGCTTTATGTTTGCAAAATGTTAAGAGTATTTATTATTGTAATTAAATGTATTTTGAATACAATGTTAAGAACTTGTTGAAAATTGTTTTTTTTCCAAAGCATTTTCATGCCCTTTATATAGGAAAATACAATTAAAGAAAATCTATGATATTTATGATACTACTGACAATAATAACAGAGCTAACAGATATACTAATTATATTAAATATGATATAAATGATAATAGTGATATAAATAATAAAAATATAATAAATATTATGTATGTCCTATTTGGCAGATATAGTAGATTAAGCAGATTTGGCATATATGTCATATTTGACAAATTCATCAATTTTTGCCAGTTTCAGCATGTAATAATAAATTTTTTATTTTTGGCAAAAAAGCATAATCGTTGTTTACACTTATGTGATTTTTTATTTATAATGCTGATAAAATTTTAGATTATAACAAAATGTTACAATCAAGAACTGCATGATTACTGTTCAGATTGTCTTCACAAAGTCCCTATAATAATAATAATAATAAATTTTTTATATATAATACTGATGAGGAATTTTTATAACAATCACGTTTTTTAACTTGAATGAAGATAAATGTTATTAATTTCTGAATACTCATGTTATTTCTGATCATTTAGATCCTTTACAGTTGTACTTTTGATGTAATAATAGGATAACAAAATATGAGCTAACTTCTCTCTAATAAATAATCTAGTTACATACTTTATAAGTTTTATGTTAATATCCCTCGATCATGCATTTTCAGATTTTGTAATATGTCATATTTTTTCAGGATTCTAAATAGATTTAACAAGAAAATGTGATTGTTAACACAAGTCTTATTGATGCAGTAAATTATATGCCACAAAATTAGGTAGTATTATATGCCAAATTCTACCAAAAAGTATTCATGAAATGAAATATAATGTGTGAATCAGTTGAATTATTTATTTTTTTTAACTTTACTAATTCCACTGAAAATTAAGTTTCAGATACATAAAAAGATTTATTATATGATTAATAAAGTAATTTACACGTATAAAGTCAAATAAATTTTTGCTTAAGCAATTTTTAATAGTATATTTATTAGTTACTATTTAATGATAAATGCTTATCAAATACTTTATGATTTACTGCAATACTTATCAAAGATCTATGCATAATGCATACTGCTCTATTTTATTAATCTAAGTGTCAAATTTCTTGCCATCACTTATTTTTATAAGGCAATTTTGTTTTAAAATTTCCAAATTTATCCTTTGGTATTACAAAATAAATGTGAATATTAGAATCTTCATATAAGACTTTCTTGATTACTCTTAGCCTATCTTGTTTGATACTATATTTTCTAGAAATAGTGAATCATATCAGAATCTAGCTGATAATAATTTTTTGTCCTTGTTATAATATCATTTTTAATCTCATCAATAGATTAAAAATGTTTTTCTTTTAAATCTGATTCAAACTTTTCAAATTCTTTAGATTCTGTGTCCTATCTGTTAGTTTTCATACTAAAAATTTTCCTTCTCAATAAAGAATTTCATGTGATAACAATTCAAATAGTAATTTTTGAAAAGCATCCATTTTCTTTATATTTCTTGCTGTCAATAAAAATGTGAAATTTCTCCTTATTATATTTTTTTAAATGATTTAGGTATTTATTTGCCACGTATTTAGATGCAAAAAAGCAAAAAATATTAGTATATAGATCTTTTGTTTCCTCAGAATAGGTGTGTATATAAATTATTTTGTGAGAAAATTCATGGTCAAAGAAGAGTTTGGCTTGATAATCTAGAATATTTTGATCAATTAATTCAGATGCAGAAACAATCATATTAATAATTTTTTCATGATTCATATCATTATCAAAAATCTATCTTAGAATTCACCACATAACTTAAATTTTCTTTTGATTATTTCTTCAGAAATTTTAACTTTATATAGTTTATCCTAATATTTAAGTAACTCTTCTTCGTTCTAAGTTTGCATATATAATGTTTTGCATTTTAGTTTATCAAAATCACTAATGATATTTCTTTTAAACAGAAATATCATTATAAACTTCCCTGCAGTCCAATCATAACTTATTTGGATCTTTCTACTGTCAAATATACATCAAGAATTCTTTCTTTATACAAGAAGTTTGTATTCTTCTTTATTATTCACTGCAAAAGTTTCACCCTGAGGATTAATATATAGTGTGCAATCTTTATAGTTAAAAATAACTTTATTTTCTTTTTTAAAAAGCTCCACTAATATTAATCTTTCAAAATATGTCTTGCCAATTTTTAGATTTCTGGTGATTAAAAATCGATTGTGAAATTCATTATTAAGTATAAAATTATGATAATAATTATAGTACTTTCAATTATATATCGCTATATTATCAATTTCTCCTAGCAATGGTGACATATTAAATGCTTATTAATTTATGTTAATATCAATAAGGAGTTTGATCATCATCTTATCTAGAAGTAGTATAAATTGAGTTAAGATTTTGTCATTCTTTATAAAAGACAATGTTAAACAATAAATACTTTGATCCATTAGCCCTATAAAAAAAGAATGTCTAGAATTTAACAAGTAAATATATTAAAATAATAATGTATAAATTCTGAATATTTTTATTATCTAGAATATATTCTAAATCTTAGTAGTTTTCGAATATTCATTTTGTCCAGAAAATGTTATTATCCAGAATTTCAATGTTCAATTTCTTTAAAATGCAAAATTGGACATTTTCCAGATATTTTTCAAATAATTTTCAGATATAATCCTGTTTTCTAGACATTTTTCAAATATAATTATATTTTTCTGAACGTATTTCATTTTTCTGAATATTTTTAGACATTTTCACTATTCATAATATCAAATTTATAACTTAATAATTTATTAATATTTAATTTAAAATTATTTAATTTAAATTTATTTATTTATTAAAAAAATATAAATAACGATAATAAAATACAATAAATATAAATATTTTATAATAAAAAGTATTATTTAATATAATATAAAAAATAAAAGAAAAGTGAAAATGATAAGGACACTGACATATATTACATAATATTTTTGGGAATAGGGTAGCAGGGGCTTCTAAGAGATGTCTTATGTTACACTTAGATATATATATTATGTGATTATTTAGATTACGGTAATAAGCAAAAAATATTTATTAATACTGCAATTCAACACATGCTTACTCTTCATCTGATACATATTCTCTTAATTCAAATGGAATAATATTTGATCATTGTGAAGGTAGAAGAGAAAAATCATTAAATGGCTTATTCTGATTCTTAAATTAGCCTTTGAGTCATCCTTAAGTTGCAAGGTGTGCTGTTTTCTTGTGATTCTTTAGGAAAGTAAGAGTAGGAAAGTACTTCTGATATGTAGAACAATAAAGACAGGAGTATATATTTTTTTCAAGAGATGGACAGTGAGCATCATAATCCAGGATTTTTAGATGATTATAATATTAAAATAAATGAATAGAATTCGTAAAGTATCCATAATTAGCTTTTGTAACAGATGATAAAAAACTATTGTAGCTTTCAAGAAATTTCATTGCTTCTTTAGTTATTGGTATCCATAACAACTTGTATCTTTACATTTTCTGATATCAATGGAATATGTGCATAAATTACAGTATTTTTTAATTCAAGACCATAGAATAAAGCATTCAGAAAAGATAAACATTTTATTCTTCTTTTTTACATTTTTTTGGTTTTGTTTTTCTTGTCTTTTTAATTCTTCAGCCTTTTCTTTTTCTGTACTCTTAAATTCTAAATTTTCAAATGGATTTGTAAATGTGTCAATATATCGAGCATCCATTAATATATTTTCCAAAAATTGAATCGCGACTCCAAATATTACAAAGAGTTTCTCTAGCATATCGAAAATTTTGAGTAGTCAGCTTAGGATTCATGACATTTTCTTGGGAATCCAAATATTTGCCAAAGTAGTCAATTAGTAATGTGATGCTAGTAAGTTTGCCAGATAGTGTTGTCATGCCTCTTTTGATAGGGTTGTATTTAGATTATCTTGATGTATGTGTTCGTACACTCAGGTAATCTAAGTCAAACTTTTTAAAAAGTTGATAATATACCATTATGTTTTTCAAATATCTGGGATTTTCGTCTGGCCCTCTATCTACTAATAATATCCAAATAGGTTAAATTTGTCTATTGATCTTCAATGCATCATCATATTGAAAATTTAAGGTAAGACTTTTTAGATCTTGCATATATATTAGCGAAGATGTACTAATAGGTCATTGAAAACATGTAAAAATTGCGAGTTGTCCTGTTTAAAGTTTATCTTTTAATTCATTTGGTTTAATAATTAGATATATTAAGGAATTAGTTTCTGCCTACACCTAATAGGAAAATCATAATCAGTTACGGATATAAGTTCATTAATTGACTGTAAGGTTTGAAATGTTCGACCTACTGCAGGTATTCCAAGATTCACTTTTGCTTTATCATCTTGTGAAACAATAATAGACATATCTGCAAACATAGAAGCAAATTGTCTTACATATTTGATAGATGCAAGATAATAATACCTATCAGAATGCTCTTGAGTATCTGTATGTGAAACTCTGGATACAGTAATCTATGCTGAATGATGATGAGCCTTAGTAGCAATCGAATTGGATTGGTGAGGTAAGAGATAATTCTTTAATGTTGTTCGTGCCATATAAATATTATATCTCTCCTTCAAATTCTTACACAAATTTTCAATGATGCGTACCTTAACCACCACTTTTCACTTTTTTAAATTGGCTGATCCAAACTCAACTGAGTCGTGGATTTGATTGTGTAAATCTGAATATTTGAAAAGTAATGGTGGATGGCCAGACTTATCATATTGAACTACCTCTTGATTCTCAGTAAGTATTTTAAATTTTTTTGCTCTACAATTTTGAGCATATTTCACGTTTCTTTTTAATTTATTAATTTTATTCTTATTAAAACTAATTTCATATTTAGATTTTTCTATTTTTATATATATATCATGCTAAATCTAAGTGTTAGTTGTGATATTGTAAATTTGTTTTAATTCAGCAAGTTTTTCTTCAGTTATTTTAATCTCTTCCGATATCTTTCTTTAAGCTGTTGCATTCTTAGAAATTTTTAGTATAGGTTCAACTGGACTAATAATAGGAAAGGAGAAACTGTTTCTAGTATAGGTTTAGGATGATTTGCTTTTATTATTGGTATATTATATGGGTGAATTGAAGTAGTGATGTATTCTCTAATTATATTATCAATTTCTGTAGCATTTTTGCTTTTAATGCTTTTCCATTCCTGTTACTGCTTCACAGCAAACAATAGCATAATTTGGAGTACTATTTTCCATTTTTACCATGATACTATATACATAAGCATTAGTAAATTCCTGATACTTATTATCTAACGAATTGTAAATTGATTTTTTATTAAATTTAGGGTCAATAAAATAGGTTTGATGACTCATTTTTCAAAATAAAAGTAGACACATTTTTTTGAGAACAAAACTTATTTTTTATTATAAAAGCACAAGATATAAATACATTAAATTCTCTTTTATAAAACTTTCGTAGCTAATTATATTAAAATACAAGCCTTCTCACAGTTAATTTATATTAAAACGGAAAAGCCATTGCAACTAAATTTATTAAAAAGGGCATACCATTCTTTTCATATCAAAATCCCACAGTTTAATTTATACTAAAACAAAAAAATCCCCATAGCTAAATTTATTAAAAAGGATTTTTGTATCAAAATGCAAATCTCCTGCAATTAATTTATATTAAATCAGCAAAGTTCTGCCACTCTTTTTGTATCAAAATAGAAAAAAAGCCTCTGTTAAATAGCTTGCTTCCACAGTTAATTTATATTAAAACAGCAAAGTTCTGCCAATCTTTTCATTGTTAATATTACTCTTTTCATCAAATAAGTTAACTATGATTTGAAGTCAGAGAGACAGTAGCTATAACTTAAATCCAATCAACTTGATATGCTGTTTATTAGAGAGTTTATTTAGTTAACAAGAATTAATTATATGTTTTATGTTTGCAAAAATGTTAAATATGTTTATTATTATTATTAAATGTATATCGGATACAATATTAAGAACTTGTTGGAATCTTGTTGAATCTGTTCTTTTTCCAAGGCATTTTCATGCCCTTTATATAGGAAAATACAATTAAAGAAAATCTGATATTTATGATACTACTGACAATAATAACAGAGCTAACAGATATGCTAATTATATTAGATACGATATAAATGATAATAGTAATAAAAATAATAGAAATATAATAAATATTATGTATATCCTATTTGGCAGATTTGGCAGATTTGGCATATATGACTGGTCTGTCAGTTTCTACCAGTTTCAATTTCCTCCTCTAAATTTTGGTCTCCAGACTAAATCAACATTGCTTCTTTCCTTAAAGATTGATAATTTTTCTTTTTCATTGAGCATATTTCAGGAAGATTTAGATATTGAGAATGTTGAATCTGCTCTGGTCTTAGGAATTCAAAAATGAATAGATTTATATTGAGACTGTATAATAATATTTAGTAATCATACCT